CACCACCAACACTTTTCTGTCTCACCGGTAGTCACGAGGGGGACGGCGGTGGTCTCTGCGTTCGGAGGCAGAGTTGGCGTAGCCGTGTCGGCCGGCGTGCTGATTTCTACGGAAACAAACAACACAGGTCAACAGATGGATTAATATTAAATCAAATCTGATGTTTTTAGGTAGATTTTCTCCATAACCATCCCGTATTCTGTTTATTCAAAAGAAAACAAACATTTAAATGCGGTATCAGCTTGTAAACACACCTCAGCTTTCTGTCTTGTGTGAATAACCTTCAACAACAAACCTACCACTAAACATGTCAAAAACAACTACAACAGGTTGATTTAAATAGATTGGTGAGAAAAACTAAATAACGTTCCAAGAATGTGCTAAAACTGAGGGTCTCCGCTCCAAACTGGATCCGTCTGAGGCCAGCAGACACAGAAAGCCCCTAAAACATCCCGAGAGGCCCGGTGTCATGTTGTGTCTGAAGGCTCAGGCGTCAGCATCTGTCTAAGACGCACACTGGCTAAAATGTGCAGACACACACTCGTTCATGCTAACACACACACACACACACACACACACACACACACACACACACACACACACGCACGCACGCGTCTGACGCTAAAGCTGATGGATGGATGCGTCTAACAAACTCCCCTCGACCTTGGATGGGATGATCGCACTCCGACACCAATCTATGGCTGTCAGCATGTTTCCAACACACACACACACACACACACACACACACACACACACACACACACACACACACACACACACACACACACACACACACACACACACACACACACACACACACACACACACACACACACACTGCTCTGCATGTGATTGCCTCCTTCACTTCATGTTAAAAAACAGAGAAAACCTAAAGTGGGATCCTCCGTAAACCTCAAATGAAAGTCCAGCGTTTGCACACACACACACATGTTGAGCAGGCTGCAGCTGGAATGTGTGTGTTATTAGGAGCAGATGGGTCAGCCTAGTGGGAGTTTACACAGAAGTTTGGGTCAAGTCTGCCCAGAACCTCTTATCTATCACGTGAACAAACGGGTGTCTCCTCCAGTATCTGTTCCTTAAAACCATTAGCTGCATATTTACATCGCTTTGGGTCGCTCTCTCCAAACTGGAAACACACTTTCCCTCTCTGACATTAAAGCACATTCTTTGGCGTATCATGTTCCCAACTCCTTTGTCAGCTTTCCCTGGCCGCGTCTCACTTAAAGCTGATCCAAACGACTGCTGCCTGGGCGGGTCTCATGTGAGACGAGTTGAAGAAGACGCACAAACATCTAAAATGAAACGGGACGGTTTGATTTATCCCACCCGTTAGAGCCACAACGCCTTCTTTTTCCTTATAACCACCATTTCAAGGCTGTGAGAAGCAATAAAGGCAACAACGTGATCTACAGCTGATTGGCTAAAAAGGGGAAATAAGCGGAACGCCACCCCAGCTGGAGAAATGGCACCAATGAAAGGATCAGCGGCAGCTGGCGACAGCTTCTGACATTAACCCCGCGTTAATGCCACGTCCTTTAAGCCAGTCATTTACTTCCTAATGAGACTCCTATCACTGTTGGGAAGGTGCGGCAAAGAAAGCAACCGCCCGTCGTCCTCCTTCCACCTCCAAGACTCTTCACTCCTGTTTGCTTTTTGTGCCACGATTCCTGTCTAACCTTTCCATTCCTCCAGTTCAATCCTGGGATGAGGCGTTAAAACGAACCACAAGTCCACACGTTACCTGGGCACCAGCTCACACACACACACGCACACACACACACATGTATGTTCCCTCCTGTGCGTAAAACTGAAAACACAAAAACACACACTCCGGTCCATTAAGATTCTCCCTGGCTCCGGAGAACACGGTGCTTTTAAAGGTCAGGCCCTGTCACGGTGTAAATGTGCTGACCTTTCTGGGGTGTGACAAGAGCGTCGGGGCCACTGACTCAAGCGTTCGTGTGGACGGACGGAGAGAGAGAGAGAGTGCGATAACGTCTGCAACCTGCCTACTTTGCCCCAAGCGCCGTGCTTGATGTGTGTGAGGGCTGTGTCAGAGCTTTGCAGAGGGTGTCCAGGTGCAACAGAGAGCCTAATAATGCAGGAGTCCCTCTGCAGCACTGTTGCCTTACATAATGTGTCAGCTGCTGCAGATGATGATGCAAGTCATCATCATCATGCACAGGATGAGACACTGTGCCTAGAGCTGGGCTCAGGGGAGCTGCTGGCACAGATAATACACAAGCATACATGCTCACTGATAGATACTTTTATAGGCTTATTTTGTCCCTGACACACACTTTTTTACACACACACACACGGAGCGATGGCGAGTGCCAGAAAGACACGGCTCCAAGAGGCTGGCTCAGCAATATGTCAGAGAACAGAGAAAAAAAAAATCTTCAATTATGTAGAAAGCTTTTCTGTAAATCTCTGGCTGGCAGTACCGGCGCAGTCACGCACTGATGAATGGATACAACACACGCACATCCCAGAATAGTAAGACATGGACGAGGAACCCGTACCAGAACCCCGCCTTCACCCTGGATTATCACCGCTGGATTATAGAGATTTGCTGGTCCTTTGTGTCCCCGCAAAATTGTGTCAACAAATTCCTGTCCTCACCATGTGAGTCTCACAAGCACACCTCCTAGAGAACAGAAGCTGGACGCCCACGGGACGGCGTGTCAGCAGTGAACCAACATCCCGACGGCTGGCAAATTAGTCCTGTTGTTGCAACATCACCTTTAAACACCTGAGTTCGCGAGAGTGTCCTAGTTTCATATTCAACCTTTAACGTCAATTTACATTATCGTCATATTAAAGGTACAATATGTAAGAATTCAACAGTGAAATAACCACAAAACTGTCTAATGGAAAACTACACTGAGACTGATTTCCTTCTCAGCTGGCTGGAGGGTTGTTAGTTGTTTTCCTTTCAAAATGGCCAAAGAGGGATTGTCTACAATCTGTGAGCCTGCAGAGTTGCGGAGTCAGAATTAGCTTTGTACTTTGACACCAGCAGGAAAAAACCTCCAGAGTTGTTTAAAGAACCTAACCAGGAATGGCCCAGAAGTTATTTCTTGTACTCCTAAGAAGCCACGGCATCTTTCTGTTTTACTCTACTATCGGGTAAAGAAGGTTAGAAGCTAACATTGAGCTAACAATGCTAACGGTGAATTAGAAAACATAGACACCTCAAAAAATAACTCAAGCAACCTTTTCTATAACCAACAACTGGATATTACAGTGAAATGTATTTACTTAATGCGAACGACTCGTCTTCTGTGTGGCTCTGCAAACGGTAACGGCCATGAAACTCAGGGAACGGTAGTTTTGTTTAGAAACATGGGCCGCAGTACCCAAATGTGACCACAGGGTGTCATTCTTACATACTGCACCTTTAAATATCACAATTACCAAACATACTGTGCAGCCTTGTATGAAACATTGTTATAGAAGACAAAATTACAGAAAATACTTTTTAAAAAGGTTTCTGAATTTTTTATCACCATGTTTTGTTTTGTGCCATCATATTCTTCACCCGAGGACCGCCACACTTAAGGAACACATTTAATACAAATTAAAAGGTAGCTGCTTTAAAGCATCATCGTTTCTGCCGTATTAACTAGGATTTCTGAGGAAGAAAATAGAATCTCAGACACCGGAGGTTTAAATTATAGGGGTGTGTGCGTGCGTGTGTGTGTGTGGTCTGCGTTTTATTACCCTTAAGACTAAAATGGTTTCTACCTGGAAAGAAGCTCATATTCCTTACAGATCTCTAAAATCCCATTCCTGAGCTCATAAATATTTAATTCTAAGACTTGAGTGCATAAAAAAGTGATTGTGTGTGAGACAGCTGAGCAGGAGCAGAAGGAGTTGCGACCAACAGCGGCGAGAATGGAGGTGGAAGCGATGAGCAACAGGGGAGGAAAAGAGGAGGAACGAAGAACAAAAACATTTAGAGACCCACGCACCGAGCCTCGGGCTGGGAAAGGAAAGAACTGTGACCGTGTGTGGTGATGAGGAGGGAAGCTTGTTCCAACTCGCCCTGGTAAAACTGGGGGGTGGGGGCTCATTTCTTTGGTCCAAATCTTATAAATAAGCAGAGTGAACACACAAATGTGGAAAGAGGGGAGCGAATGATTCACAGGATGTCAGCAGTAGTCCAAAGGTCCTGCTGGGTTTGGCGGTGTGTGCACCAAGTGAGACAATAGTTTTGTGTTCCAAATCCTTTGAAGAGTCAATCAGGTTCCTCAGTGTTCCGTTTCTGTGCTCATTGCTGTTTTCCCACACATGGACGGTTAATGTAGAACGCGTTGTTTCCTGTGTTTCGCAAGAGAAGAGGTAAACGTCTAGGGAACCGTTCCCTTATAGGGTGGCGGTACACATGTTTAAATATTGAATTCAGCTAGGACATCGTGCGTGATTCGCTGTAATGAAAAGCCTTGCATGCACAGATGAAATGACTCATTAGACTGTTTGGTAAGTTTGTGTCAAACTCTACGTGTGCACGCTGAGGCGCACAGCCGTCCTGGTCAGGCACAAAGGGAGAGGTAAACAGCGTCTGTGTTTGTTTGTCTGTGATCCAGCAACAGAAAGAGAAGCACATCTGGGTAACAGACCACGCCGGAGCGTGAACAAACCAGTGCTCTCGCTCTCCGGGGAAGCATTCCTCCAAACCCCACCCTGCTGATCACTACAGTCGCTCACAAAGAACTCAAATCCTTCAGGTGGAACAACATCAGAATGAAATACAAGTCACAGTAATGTTGTTTCCTCGCGAGGCTCCCTTCACCTCAGGCACACTAATGAAACTCTCATGCATATCTAATGTGAGCCACCTTCATCAAGGTCCATTCAGTTCTGCTTACACTACTAAAGTTCATTACAGTACACGGCAAGTAATTCAGCCCGGAATGATCACTTAGGAATGTCACACGCACTAGTGTCCTACCTGGAAGGTCGCATCCCAGAATCTCAACTCTCATCCCGATCCCTCCAGGAGACCACCGCTCAGGGTACAGCCTGACAAACTGGACCGCCGTCTCCTCGAAATGACGAAGCTCCGGGGTGTCGTAGTGAGTGTTCCCCTCAAAGATCTGAGCAGAACAAATCGATTGGGACACAATGGTTACAGTAGACGGCCATATTGGTGGGGTTTCCATTACAAATGGCTTGTTTAAGGTAGAAAATCAGGCGTTAAAGAGCAGAATTCATGGTTCCATCTGTTACAGCAAGTGGTCCAAGTCCTGAAGCAGCAGAGCAGCCCCAAACCATCACACCACCACCACCATGTTTGACTATTAGTTTCGTTTTTCTAAAACCGAGCCTCGGAATTATCTCATGATCCACGTTGCCCTCCATCTCTCTCTTAATGCTGTAATGTGACCTTTGACCTTGACTCTAACCAAAAGAGGCCTGTTGCTCTGCTTCTTCACATCGTTTATCCTGACTCGTTGTCAAATCTGCTTTTTGTGCTTCCTCAGCCTCTCTGTCTGGCATCGAGATATTTTTATACATTTGTGCAAAAAGTAGAAATCTGTAATGAGGCAAACGCTTTTTCTCAGTTTGGGAAATCCACTCACGTCTTTAGAAAGCCGGACGAGCAAAGAACTGGTCTAATTTTAATTAAAATATAGAGAAGTAAAATAAGAGTTCATGCAGCCTGATCCGACAGACTCAACTGATGCAATAGCGTGTATCGGTTGCTATGACAACAGAGAGGCAGCAGCCTGTTCTCCACCCACCTTGGGAAGGCTGGTCCTGCTGTCCGTGATGAAGGTCCAGTCTTTTCCGTTAAGGCTGTGTGCGACTTTGTACTTCCTGACAAATGCCCGGTTGTCCGTAGCAGTGCCAGTTCCTGCGTCCCCTCCGCGTGCTCCCTGGGTGATGACTCCACGGATGATTTTGGGCACACCCAGATCCACCTGGAGGCCGTGATTGGTGGTTACACTTTCATCACAGCTAATCTGGTTGCAATAATTAAGCCAAAGCCCTCCTGTACCTGCAGCCACTCCTCTCCAGCCAGGGGTTGGGTCGGTGCCGGGAACCAACCCGAGCGGCTGGCCACAAGACGGGCCGTCCCAGGGTTCCACACCACGTCCCTGCTGGACGAGGCTGAGATCTGGGCGTCGGGAAGCAGACCGGACATCAGCCCCTGCAGGTCTGAGCACGGAGCATCTGGGGAGGAAAGCAGAGATGACTTCACTTGGAAGTTTTACTTACAAGTGCCGCCACACATTTTCCCACCAGGGAGCTGTTAACGTTCCGCCGCAGGACTGCTCTCTCGGCCACTAAGCCTTAAGCGCTCCGACCAGAAGAAACACAAGAGGCTGAGAGGATGAAAAGATACGTGAAACTGCACCACAGCTTAATGTTCAATGTGCAATTAGACTTCCATTAGCGAGATAAAAGCGCACATTAACCCTGCTGCTGCTTTGCATTCATGCGTCTCACACCTCACACTGATTTTTAAGCGTCTTTTAATGTTGTTCATCCTATTTTTTGTCTGCTCGGTGCATTTTATGAGCAGGGAGGAAGTTTCATGTCCGTGTCACGGTGCTTGTTGGGAAATAACTCGCAAAGGAAATATGTGGAAGGATTAAGGGATGAGAACGGTATAATACGTGATGCTGGGAGGCAGAGAGTAGGGGGTGGGGCAGGAGGAGAGGCTGGGAGAAGGAGCACAACATGTTGAGGTGAGATGCCGACAGAGTTGAACAGCAGGAAAGAGGAAGAATGGAAGCAGGAGGAGAGGGAGAGAGCTGGAATGTGAAGCTTGAAGAGGAGAGGCAGACACGCGGAGAAGAGAGGAAGCATAGGGGGAAGGTAGCGGGGGAGATGTTAGCTGTGCTGATGCTTTAAAAGAACACAGATCAAACTTTCATGCCGTTATGTCACTGCAAATGCAGGCGATGTAAATAATGGATAAAACACACAGGAAGAGGGGATGTATTTGTGTCTGTGTACATTTCTAAAGGTGCACCTGCCTTTGAGGTCATCTGTTATGTTTAGAAGGTGTGTGTGTGTGTGTGTTTGCTTGTTCTCATGCTGTTGGGGCTAATAGTTATTTCAATAGCAGCTGTTGAGGCTGAATTGAATCCCAGTTTCAGATGTAAGCGTGAACAGAGAGCCATGAATGATTGAGCAGCGCTCATTTCTCGATCTGGAGGAGCTCGCAGAGCAAAGAGGAAGCTTCAAAAAGAGTTTCTAAACCGTGAGAGGGGAAGGGGGGGGGGGGGGGGGGGCTGTTGTGGGAGTTGGAGGGAGAAACAGAGAGGCGAAGGAGCGCCGGATGATTAAAACGACACTGGTGGTGCCTCTGGAAGCGAGAACAAAGTCAGCTCCATCTTAATTAGCCTAAGGGTGCTGGGCAGGAGAGTCCAGAGGTGTTTGCTAACGCACGTTTGAGACTCTTCAATGTTTTGGAATCCAAATGTCATTAAAGCTGATCTTTATCATCTGCAGCTGAAAGGCAAAAGCAGTGCTATGATGTTTTTACCTTTGTGTCTGTGTGTTTGTAGCGTTAGCACTTAGCACCAGAATCTCTTGAACCACTGGATGGTCTTTAGTGAAACTTTGTGATCAGGGAATGCACGCCTACAGCTGAATCTATTTGATACGACCCTGCTGGAAAAACCAGCACATGTTGTGTTTTGGTGCTGGTATGCTCCTGGACACATCAGCTAAACCAGCACCAAAGCACAACACATGCTGGTTTTTTTCAGCTGGTAAGTTGTTTTCCACAGCGCAACTAGCTGAAAACGTAAACGGCTATAACTGGGTCAGTTTTACAGGTACTCAGCTAACATTTGGTGCTGTAGTAGCTAGGGTTGGGCATCGTTTGATTTTGAACGATTCCGGTTCCTATCGATTCCCGATTCCGATTCTTTGAAGACATGACATGTTTTACATGAGCCAGCTAACCACGGGTCCTACTTGATGAAATAATCTTAACTTCAACATGAATTTTAATTCTATGAACAATAACATCACCTTCATTTAGACAAAAACATGTTTTGGAGAAAAAAAGAAAAAGACTTGCAGCACAACCAGTGTGTTTGTTTCTGACCACAACCAAAGTCTGGAAGAAGCCTCTGGGATGAGAGGCTAAATGTCTCCAACATATCCAGAAACGTTCAGCTGTTTTCAGCTAAAGCTCTCAGGGTGATCATGTCCAGGATGACTGAGAACTACACCTCCATGCTGCAGCAGCGTTCAGTCAGAACAGAAAGTGCTGACGCTCCGGGTGCGTTTTTATTTCTGCAGTGAGACAAACTCACCTCACACCGTCCAGAGTTTGTTCTTTAAAGCTTCTATTAAATCCACCTTGTTGGCGTATTTAACAAGTTTCCTCTACGCTGCAGGAGTTAAAGTTTACATTACGGAGTAAAAGTTCGGCAGACGGGGGGGACTTGTGCTGCACACAGACAGCTGGTGTGATCATCTCTGAAAAGCGTTGATCACAGTTTGCAGATCACGTTTATTTTTCACGGAGGTCGGTCGCGGATTCCTCTTCCGTCGGCATTTTAGGAATCAAAATAAAAAAAACTTTGAACGATTCTGGGAAAAACTAACAGTTGGAACCGGTTCCAATCGATACTCTACGCTTGATGCCAAACCCTAGTAGTAGCGGGGGTTCACCCCCAGCACACACTCTCAAACTAACTGATCGTGTGTATGACCTTAAGAGTCAAAGGTCACCACAGCCATACTACCTTGGAACACATGAAACCGGTGTCACATCTGTCAGTTTTCCAGAAGTTCCGATAAACTTTAAGCTAATTGACCGCTTGAGAACTTAGCTTAAACCATCACCGTTAACCCGTTGCGGTCACAAATCCCTTCTAACTTTAAAGCTGCTGTCGCAAATTTGGAAAACAAATTAGATTAAAACAATTTTATGCCTCATAATAACCGTCTAACATAGTATAGCTAAAAATATATTTTAGAGAGAAAAAAAGGAAAACGCTCAATAATATCAGAGAAGGAGAAACAGCCAGCTGCTACCACTTTAGGACACATTTCCGGAGTCCCAAAAAGAAAAACACCATATGAAGTCAAGAGAAACAAAAGACGTTTGGACATAGGAAATGGCGACTGGTGTTTAGCGCAATCTCGTTTCCTCTGGCAATGCGGGTTTCTGGTTCCGGCAGAAGCGTCTCAGGGAAGATACCCAAGGGGAGGGGTGAGTGATCTGTGACCGCATTCAAAACATAACTTGTTCTGCAGATTCACTGTAACAGCTTTAAAGCATCCACATGGAGGATCAGGATTAGTACCTTCATCAGAAACCTGCCATATCCAATGCTGTACATGTCTACTGCCCTCTGGTGGAGGAGCTAAAGCTGACAACCACCCATTTTATTACCGTTATCTTGTATAATAACATAATAAAATAAAACGGGATATTATGAAGTTGTGTATTAACATTACACCATAAATAATTCAGTAAATATGTATTTAAAATTAGTATTGTTTCATATTTCAGGGCATTAAGGTGTTAACAGATTGAGCCAACCTCCTCCAAGATGGCTGCCACAGCTAACAAAAGTACAGCTAATTGTGTTAATTGTTAGAAAGTAATTGTCTACAGCTGATTAACTTTTGTAGTCAACCTACTTCAACATGGCCATCCCAGACAACATGGCTCTAGCTCTAGTGGGTGAGGGTCACCTCTAGCGATGGGTACCGAATTTGGTACTTTTTAAGGTACCGACCGAATTCCACAGTACCGACTGAGCACCGATTCACGTCATTTGAAACGGTGCCTCGTTTCGGTACCCGTCCTTCATAACGAGAACTTGCCTAGACAGCTGCACATGCGCAAGAGCGTTATGTCGTCGCTCGCTGTGAGCGAGTTGTAAACAGAGCAGCACTGTAGAAAGAACGCACGCTAAAGCTTGGGTCCACTTCACTAAATGTGATGGGTAATTGGGTGATGATGAAACCAGCGACATTGATCTAAGTGTGAGACATCATCGTTTTAATCTGCTCCAGCAGCTAAATAAACTGTTTAAGATAACGTTAGCTTGATAAATTAGCTTCCATTGCCACCATTGTTATCAGCTAATGGTGCGTCCGCTTTCTCCTCGGAAATTCTAACTTCCCAGTAGGAAAAATCAAAGAAAAAGGACGGCAAAAGGAATGAAGATACACAGTAAATTTAGTTCACAGTAAAGATGTTTGCTTCAGTTTAATTATCAGCTTATAAAACTACAAGGACGATGTTAAAATACAGTTGTATGTTATTAATCGTGATATTTATCAAATATGGTTATATATTGAGAAAAATATGTAATTAATCATAAAAGAGATTTAAAATATTAAACACTCAAACGTATCTAAAATTGGTACCGTTAAGTACCGGTATCGATTCCTAGGTATCGGGAATTAGTACCGAATCGATTCAAATGTCAAAGATACCCATCCCTAGTCATCTCCATCACATACTCCAGATCCCCAATAGCATCAATGCCAAGACTTCACCAAAACGGTGAGGACTCCAAGTATTTATCATCATCATCACATGATGCTAGTTTGACTTTTTGGCAAGAAAGCTTGATTTCCATTCCCTCATGGAACGTCAGGCTGATCCCAGAGAAAAAAAAACCTTTGAGCATCTAACCTGTAATCTGGCATCCATAAAGCTCAAAGCGAAGAGCAATGCCGTTTTTCCAGGTCTGCGGTCGGATCCGAACAAAGCGGGCCAAAACCGGCTGCTGGATGCGGTTCAGGACCACCTCAGCTGGATCTGTGTTCGCGTGGAAAATCTGTGAGAGCAGACAAGAATAGAAGAAACAACAGAGTTAGAGGAAGATGGTCTTAAATCTTACACTCACACACGCACGCACGCACACACACACACGCACGCACACACACACACCCACGCACACACACACACACACACACACACACACAACTCCTGCTTCAGCACTCTCCCACTGTGCACAGTCTTGCTTGGCTTCACACACACAGTGGCAGGCCGGACAAAGCGGAGACAACCCAAACATGGATCCGATGTCACCATCCCAGCTGTCGATGTGTTGTGAGGTCAGGGGATCAGCACCGGGAGGCTGGGAAAGCCCAGAGACCCGCAGAACTTTTCGTCTTTTCACCTCCACACTTGCAACCACTGCAACTCAGTGCGTTGGTGGCCGAAAAGGAAACCACGGGAGACGTGACCTGACACGACCAAACGCAGGAAGTGTCTCCAGGTGGGGAGGAAGCGAGTGAAATCCACGTCCTAGGGCGTCCACCCAAACCCGTCAGCATTCTCCCGGAGCACTCCTTCATGTTGTCTTTGACAATCGGGTCAGAGACCAACTGTAACCAAGGTGGCCAAGCTACTTCCTGTTTTGGTGACGCGAATCTTTCCTAAAAATCCTTATTTTTTTCTCCATATTCTCTTCATCCATAGATTCTAATCTCAAACATCCAAGTTCCTTCCATACCGCACCGGTGTCTCCTCACACGTTTCTTCCTTTTGTTGGCGGCTACTGACTGAAACCACACAGACACAGGAAACCACAGGAACCCACACAAACACTGACTCAGATAAGCAGAAAGGAAGTGCCTTTTAACTGACTGAGTGCCTGTTAAGTGTCGTTCACGCTGTCTGTGGCTGACCAATAGCTGAGCCTCCAAACACGATGACGAATGGCAAAAAGCAGCAGCATTAAATATTACAGACATCATTTATTAAAACAAAAGCTTCAAACATGAATTTTTTTTAATCAGATATTCTTTTCTGTGATGTTTTATCTTGATTTTTAATCTAAAACAATCCTAGTCGGTGGGGATCGAATCCCGACTGGACCATTTTTTTCATATCCGCCACAGATCTCTCTGAAGAACTCACAACATTGACGGCTTCAGCAACGCTGTGCCACTCCGTGGATTTTCTCTTATTTGTTCTGCAAAAGCACTTCCTTTCATTTCTCCACCTCACCCACAGGTACCTCAATTTCTACTTCTGTGAAATTGATCTGCCTTGATCTACGGTCACCACCGTCATTGGCGGAGCGCTGCAACAGCCGGCTTATGTATTTGCATGAGATCCACAAGGTACTTTGCACTGACTATTTATGGCAGTAAGTGGGCGTGGTGAGGGCGGGATGTGACTAAAATGCAGCTGAGAAACATTCTCGTTAGTCTCCGATTTATGAAGCGGAGATTGCGTGCAGCTGTGCGTACTCCATGTTTGATAGATCACAAACCTGCTTGGCGTAAGTACATTTCTTTTGCTGAGCTTAAATACGGTTTTAGTAAGGATTCTACGCAATGTTCGATAAATGAGACCCCAGATCTGACCTCCACTACAACCAAGCTCCTCCCCGCAAAACAAACAAACGTAGAAAGAAAGGCAGCACGGGAACGGAGAGGAGACAGGCAAACAGAAGATGACTCCGGGGAGGACGGGTGTCCTCGGAAGAACACATGAAAGGAGGAGTGGAGGCAGGTTGGAGAGAGGGAGAGTGAAAGGTTGAACGGAGGGCAGAGGACGTAAGGGGAGAGGAGTGGGGGAATGTGGAGCAGGAGGTGGTGAGGAGGAACAGGAAGTGCTCCATCCAAGAGTTTATCTCTTAACAAAGCAATACAGTCGATTCCGTGGAATTTCCTTTCATTTTCAAGTGAATTACCGGCACTGCTTACAGATAGTGCACATCCTTTGAAGCGGCATTCAGTGGAAAGGTTACGAACAATTAGTGCATCACCTGCTCTTTGAACAGCCTCAGTTTGGAGAAAGAGGTGAATTGTGACAGGATTAAAGAGTCAGAGCAAACTGACTTCAACGCTCATTTTTAAACCACATCTATATGTCTACTTTTGTATTGATCCGCCTACACATCCAGGTAGCCATGACAACCATAGTAAATGAAAGCGGTTGGTTATTATTATTAAGTGCACTTTTATCATTGGCTGAATTGACCTTTTGAGGTTGGAGTTATTTGATCTAGTCTAGTTTAAACGAGCTCATTGCTCTACTGAATCTGAACCCTCTCCACAGCCCAAACGTGACAGCAAAGACCTGCATCTGAAAAGAAACGGATGCAAAAATCTAAATTCTTGACTGATTTTCACTTAATGTTGCAAAAATAAAAGAAAAAAAAAACTCAGTTTTGAGGGAACAAAGGCGTGTTTAGGCTCAAATATACTTAAAAACCAGCAGCTTTACTGTGTCGGACACATTTTTTTGTTGTATGCAGCATCCTCCTCACCACTAAAAGGCCATTAAAGGGGTGCGTTCCAACCCTGTAGGCTGCATTTTCTTTTGTTTTCGTCTTTGGAATAAAGCTGGGAACGCGTCCAGCGAGGCCGACTCACAGAGAACAGGTTGTTCTGACAGGATCGGCTCTAAAACGAGTAAACAGAGAACCGAAGATGCCTCTTTTGTCCACTCCTCTTCCTCCAGTCTATCGTGAGGACACCTGAAAGGGTGCTCATTTGACTCCTAAGGTCAAAGGTTAATGGCGTCAGGAAGCAGATGTCTTTTCATTGACTAACTAGTTGATAGTCTGGAGACTTTCTGACTACCCAGGAATGAAGGAGGCATCTCTGAAGACCACGTGGTCGTCGTCTGGACCGCTTCTGTAATCTGCCAGACAACAAGCTGCGATCCGCCCCTCACGTGACATCCCATTGAGGCGGGTTGAATAATTAATGCTGCCCTGTTGTGTCTGGTGGCGTAGAGGGTCATGAAATTATAACGAAGACCCCATTACGCACACGGCGGCCCGAATAAGTGACGGTCAGACATGTTTGTGCACCACGAGTATTTAACTATTGATGACCCCTCTGAGAAGGAGGAGACTCGCTGAGGTGTTTCCGAGAATCCGAAGCGGTGGACGTGAACTCTATCGGACACCGGCGGGTTTTGTAGAACCAAAGAATATTTGTTTTGGATTTATTGGCTACATCTTGCGGTTTTGGCTCACCTCCTTTTTTTTGGCGTTTGTCTTTGACTTGATAGCACCAGAGGGAGAAACGGTGAGCTCTGTGGAAGACATCATCCGTTTCCCAGACATTTTCTTTTTAATTCCCTGACCATCACTCTTCTCCTCTCTGGATGAAGATGTCAACAGAACAAACTGGTTCCAGCTGGCTGCGCTGCACAACTGGCCTCAGAAAAACGGTCCGACTGTGACTCTCACACCACTTTTGGATGAGTGTGTGTGCAGACGTGACCACTGTGCATCAGTGTGCACGTCCTACTTATGTGTGTGTGTGCGTGCGTGTGTGCGTGTGCGTGCAGATTAGTTGTGATTGCTGGATTATGCATGAGAACGAAAACAAAGCATGTGTGAGAGACTATTGGAGGCCGCTACGCTGCCTGGGCCGTTTTTAGTTATTTTCCCCTCCTTGCTCAGGTGACTTGATGTGTGTGACAAACACTTTTCAGCAACACAAAGCTTGTTCAGCGCCAGGGCTGCTGGGACCTTTTCCTCACACACACACACACACACGCTGACAGATGACAATGTGTGTTTTTAATGTTAATTAGCGCTTGTGTGTCTACACCATGGAGAAATTGCTGCTTGTGTCTGCAGAGTGTGCGAGTCGGTGACAAATGCAATTCCCAAGCGAGTTAGCGTCTCATCAAGTAATGAGGTGCATACGCGAGGCGCGCGACTTCCATTTAACAAGTCACGTGGGTGTCAAATGGAAATTGTGTTGGCATGCAGGAAATTAGTCAGAAGAAATCACAAATATGTGCACCATGCCTCGGTGCTGCTGCAGCAGTTAGCGCTTTGCCTTTTAGCCCCTTCTATCAAACTGTTTTATGAACCGACCCGCGCTCCGCCAACAAACCCTAAACTCTCTCTCTGTGGTGGTGATACGGTGAGGTCAGTATCCTGAGTCATACCTGACGCACATGAAAAACATCACTGATGCAATTCATAAGCCACATCAGCGCTAAAGCTCACTGTTAAATGACAATTAGAAGAACCAAATCCCAGTTATTACCGGACCCCCTGATGAGAACTGAGCTTCAACCACTTAAGGCTCTTTGGGGGGCTTAGGACTGGCTAACTGGGGGCTTGTACAACATGACTGGTGGATTAGCAGTCACGCAAGAATCAGCCACAAACCCGCTGGGAACGATGGGCAACCAGTACAGCGCACCTGCTGGCATCATAAAGTAAAACAGGATTAAAACGGAGAGCTAGAGGCAGATTATTTTCTCATTTTTTCAAAGATATCTTCAAGTTTTACGATTAGAGAAGTTGTGGCTTTAAAATACTTCACCTAAAATGGTGACTAGCTCCATCCAGTCATTCACCCATTCACACATATTCAGTAAAAGGACGAAATCAGGATTTTCTGAAACATTTTCAGCTTTCTGAAGGAGCGTGGTTTTTAAAAACGCTTTAATTCTGATTGGATCGACAGGCTAATGGCTAGTTTGAGTGAGAACAACACCTGAGCGGTTTGCTGCCATCTCAACAGAATTTGTCTAAAGAAATTTGTAAAAGTTCATGACAAATTTTAAATAAATCCTTGACTTTTGATACATTTTTTATGTTTTATTTCTATTTTTATTTTCCAAAAGCAAACAGCGGCAGTAGCTAGCTGTACTAGCAATTCATGCAGGAATTTTACATTTCAGCTAAAATAATAAGAATTTTTACTTCATTGAACCCCTTAGGAAATTTTTTGCTCATCACTGGCTGCCAAAAAAATATGAATATCACAAACTAGCTACAACTTAAAGATTTATTTTGTGGTGATCCTGCTGGAAGTTTTTTAGTTTGCTACAGTTAGCCACCGTTATTTCCGCTAGCCAAAAATCAACAAAATTTGCTTAGAGTAATCCTGTTTTACAAATAAGGCAATAATGCAAAGGTTTTAACTGGAGTCATTTAAGGATGACAAATGACAACAATCCACTTTGGGTTTTGGGCCTCAAAGCCTAGCTGTTAGCTCGTCAATCTGGTCACAATTTACCCATTTTATCAAACCGAGGTTGTTCAAAAAGCTCTTCTTTCATCAGATAAGGCATTCATTAATCATAATTTCCCCAGATTTCAGAACTAAATGTACATTTCTGGTAGAGTTTCAGTGAAAGAAGACGACGACCCTTTTTAGTTTTAGTTTAAAACCTTTACAAACTCTAATGGACTTCATCGACTGCTGTCTCGGATTCAGCGTTACTTTTATCTTACTGCCAGTGTCACGTCTATTTTCCTTTTAGAACAACCACACTTTACAAATTTGCAAACTTTTATTGATCGCCGTCCTCCTACTGTGCCCGCTGTGTATTCTAAAAGCTGAGAACGATTTTCAAAGCTGCCACAATAAAGCCTGCAACATCCACCCAGATGCTTGCTGATGCATCTGTCTGAATCGCTTTTTCCCTCCTCTGACAGATTAGAGGACTCGAATTACAGAAACACAGACAAGACGCACACACACACACACACACACATATGCACATACACGCTCATCTCCAGACGGGGAGATCAGCCAGAGGTTGTTTAATGGGAAAGGGGGGCTGTGCATGTGGAGGGAATGGGGGCATCTAAGAGAGGGGGGTTCTAATAAATTGCACAGATGTGGAGTTTTAAGTCAAATCCGCATTTTGCTCAATAATCTCCACATCAAATACCCCCCCGCTGACCGCACCCAAACCAATCAGTGTTACAGAGCAGAGGGGACCCCCGTCCGTATGAGCGTATGCGGATTAACCCCCCCCCCCCCCACACACACACACACTCCCACATCCCTTTTCCTCTCTAAAACCCACAGTGACCTGCAGTCCGAACTGAGGGCGGGAATCCCCGTGAGACAGGTGTTCGTGCAGCGCGTCTACCAGAACCAAAGCACCAAAATCGATAAAATGTGTTGATTTGTTAAAACACAGATTCTGGATCCACAGCTGGCGCGGCTCCAGAAGGCTTCAGGTGTCGGTCCGTGTGTTATCCTGGGAGAGACGACGAACAAACCCAGATAAGGACACAGAGGACTCCATTGTTCTTGTTTGTCAGTTTCTGCCTCTTTATCTCTTTATCCCTCCCACGCTCTCTTTCTCTAACTCATGACTTGGGTCAAAGCTGAGGTCGGTAAACAGTCCCAGAAGAGGAATCGGTGGATGCGACTCCTGGATGAACATAGCTGTCTTTGTTTTCCAGCAAAACACCATGACAGTGGCATTAATGTGCTGTGAGAAGGCCGCACTTGTAGCTGCGAGTTAAAACCAGGCTACCGGCTGAGCTTATATACGTGTGTGTGTGTGTGTGTGTGTGTTCGCGCGTAGCAGTGGCGGGAGATGAGATGATAATAGACGGTGAAAGATGATTGGCTCGCTCTATTAGGAAAATTCCACAAACAGATTGAAATCCATTCAGTTATTTGCCCTTAATGCTCCGTTTTACAGGACAGTGAAAAACTATCTGCCCTCATACGGATTTGTCTTGTTTGTCACACTTCAGCGTTCCAGATCAGCCAACAAATCTCCATATCAGACAAAGATAACCGTAGTAAACGCAAAATGCAGGACTTAATTACTAGCAGAACAAAACGACCCAAACTAACTCTGTACCATGTGAAAATGTAATCACTTCCCGTTTCTAAGTCATGCATTAACCGGGATTAACCACATTAAACTGAGTTTTGTTCCACTAGCCACACTCAAACCTGCAGAATTAAAGCAGCAATCCAGAGTTTTCCCCTTCCAGGAACTGTTTATGATTTTATAAGAAATCTGTAGAAGCGATGGTCTGACCCTGCGTTGTGATATAATGTAGTCATACATCAGTTACCTTTTTGCCAAGACTGCCCTCATTCCACAGCATCTGATGGATTTTGAGTTGAGCGTGCTCAGCATTAGCCAATAGCGTTAGACATCTCGTTACGTATGTTAATCACAGAGCCTGGGCAAGGGTTTGAAGGTGTACCCAGACTAATACAGAGTTGGTGTTATTTCTCGTGGACAAATACGCCTTAAAAAAAGGGAAATGGCCTGTACTTGTTTTAGTGCCTTCTAGAGCCCTAAAAACCCCCAAGGCACTTTACAACACAATCTTTTATTCACCCACACACACACACATTCACACACTGCTGGTAATGAGCTAAAATGTAGCCACAGCTGCCCTGGGGGCGTACTGAGCACAGGCGCCACTGGCCCCTCCGACCACCACCAGCAGGCAAGGTGGGTGAGCCTGTCACCTCGCTCCCCCGTAATTAGATCCCTGTTTAGCTCTGTTGCCTGGCTAGAAGTGAGTGTTCCCATACGAGAGGCGTCGCTTCCGGCCATGACCACAGAAGTAGGGAGAGGGGCTTCACTTAAAGGAACTGCTCTGATTTTTAAAAGGAAACACACCAAGCACTTGTTTTTAAGAAATTCAGGAGTTGCTGACATTACTCAGGGAAAGGTCAGAGGTCATAGATCAACAGTTAAGATAGCACCATGGTAGAGTTACTCATTTGGTGTAAAACTCTAAATTTTCATCTTAGCAACAGTAAAGCACGGTGGTGGTAGTGTGATGGTCTGGGGCTGCTCTGCTGTTTCAGGATGTTCCATGTGTAACTGATGGAACCATGACCTGTGCTCTCTAGCACAACATCCTGAAGGTGAACATCTGACCTTTAAAAGGCTATGCCTGTTGAAAGTCCCTCCAATATGGCTGAATTCAGACTTTTCTGTAAAGAGTGGAACACACCTCCTCCACAGGCACGCAAGGAACTCATAAACTTACCACAAACGGCTGATTTACACTTGGACGTTACAAGCAGCTACTAAGTTAAGGGGTCAGATTCTAAATTAGCATTCTGCATTTTCGTATTCAGAAGCCAAAAACCGAAGGAATTAGTGTTTAATTTATGTTGGTAAATAAGGTGACGGATTTGTTCAAACGCTAACCCTGCATAAACATTAAGTAATTTAACTCTAGAAAACCACGATTCAACATTTTCAGCCTATCGCCCACCCCATAGGAGAGTTTGGTGAATGTAGGGGCGCGTGTCAAAGCTCACCTTGTGGTTCTTGCCGTGCCGATACACCATCCAGTCCACTCCGTTGGTGCTGACCTCCAGCTTGAAGGTGGTGACGTAGTAAGCCTTCTGAGTTTCCTTGGACACGGCTCCCTGTGTGGCGATCCCATTTAAAACCTTCAGGAAATGGAGGTCAACCTGTGAAAATAAATAAAAAGAGGGCAAAAGGGGACAGTTAGTTTAGCAATCCATGCTGGTTATAGTTGGTGAAGAAACCAGAGACAGCGGTGTGTGTTTTTGTCACACACACACACACAGCAGGAATGAGACCCGAGGAGGGAGTGTTGGAGAGCACGTACGCACGTTGTCATGTGTAAGGTGAGGGAGACTGGAGGTAAAGATCAATAGCTCGGTGTTCGGATGCATTCCTGGAGAGCGCCTTCATCAATCAGACTCCTCGGTGCTGTACACCTGTGTGTGTGTGTGTGTGTGTGTGTGTGAGTGTGTGTGTGAGTGTGTGTGTTTGAGACAGGACAGATTGAGAGTGTAGCACTTCCTTATCATCAGTTCACAGTTCCTCCATTTCTGGTGTGTGTGTGTGCTTGCATGCGTGTGTGTGTGTGTGTGTGTGTGTGTGTGTGTGTGCGTCCTGCTCTATATCCTCTCTGTATATGAGAGGCTGTTGCTCATTGCCTCTTTAGTGACACCGCAGCATCACAGAGACAAATGTATTGTCCTCAGCAGAAGGCTATGATCTTTAAGGTCACAGCAAGAATATTTAAGTCCCGCCCCCCATCTGAGCCGAGCGCGACCTCTGCGTTCACAAAGGAAATGAAGAACATCAAAGCGTGTGATTTAACGGAGACCTGCTGATGGATACCTGGATGTACTCTTTGTTGCTGTCCTCCGAAGGCGTCCAGGCGTTGTCCTCGTTGTTGAGGCGCGCCTGCCGGGGCAACCAGCGGTTGTCGTAAAACGTCGTGGAGGCCGTGATTTGATCGTCGTTGATCTTCCCCGACTCCATCCCGAACGCCATGTTGCAGTGGAATGCTGACGGGAGGAACATATCCAGGAAAAACTTGATTTTAATGGAGCAGAAAAAAAGCTTCAGGTAAATCTAGACAAAAGACCAACAGGTGAGCCGAGATAAACGGAGGTGAAGTTATTTAGATTCTACGAGAGAATAGTGGCGCATCAGACGCTCTCAGGAGGGAGCTGGAGGGGTGGGGAAGAGCGTCCAAACCAAAATAGCATTAAAGAGACGGAGAGATGAAAGGAAGATGAGCGCCAGCAGAGGCGGCGGAGGCCAAACTGTTGGAGAAGAAAACAAATCTACACTCACAGTCCGCCACTTCTTTGTGTGTCATGTTGTAGCGCGCCGAGAAGCCGTCTTTGGCTACGGCCATGTCGGTGTGGAAGGACAGGGACAGCAGACCGGAGGACGACTGGATCTCAGGAGGGATCTTCGTCCCGCAGTAGCGTCCAATCAGAGGAGACGCTGCAGAGGAGGAAGAGGTGAAAGTATTCAAAAAGACGCTTTCTGAGTTGGACTCCAGGTTCTAGTCGCCATGCTGCTCCTGTAAATGTTGTCTAATGATGCCCAGCGTGGCGTTCCCTAATCGGCCTCCCACCATTCCCGACTCTCCCTTCTCTTTCCTGTCCATCCCTCCATCTGGTGTGTGTGTGCCTCAGCCAGATCCCAGCAGGGGAACTGGAATCCTTCATGCAAGCTGCACTGGGATCCACTGCAGACAAACACGGCCAGATTAAAATAGTCTCAGTCAGACACCAGACACTGAATTCTTCCACCCCAGTTTTTTTTTATCTCCATGCCTGAGGTCTCAGCTCACTGGAACTGGGTTATGCTTTAATTTCCTCCTAATTCTTAACTTTCAGTGGTACAAATTGTTTTCAGCCATCAAAGCTTCCAAATTGTGATCTTAAATCCCGTCGGATCCTTTTTTAGCAACTCAGAATGACATAATTAGAGCAAATCCTTTATGTTCTGGTAAATAAAAAAGCTCTAAATCAGGTTTAAGCTAACGCTAGCTTGTAGCGATGACCAGTAATGCCCTCGTGGTCATCACTCTCACTCGCCTCGGGAGGAAGGAAGCGCTAGTTGATAAGGAGGCAGGGTAGGAAGGAGGTGATGAAGGGGAGCATGGAAAGGTCCCCATCTCAGGGAAGTTGAGGCCCTTTGAGTTCCCAGTTTGAAAAATGTTTCCTCTGTGTGCCGTAACGGAACGCTCACATCAAAGAGAGTGATGGCAGCTCAGGAAATTGAAGGCAGGTATGCAAATTTATGTGCAGGAATGTTGGGGGGTGCATGAGTCAGTGTGAGGTGTAAGTTTTCAAAGCGCGTGTGTGTGTGTGTGTGTGTGTGTGTGTGTGCGCGTGTGTTGGCATTCATCTAAAAAAAAAAGGGTGTTCTACCTTGCGGAAGGCCATCCCACACCTCCAGCCAGTCGTACTTGCAGTCGCCCTCGCCCACCATCAGGGGGTCGTTCTCCAGGTCAAAGGTCAGGAAGGTGAGCGTGATGTCCATGTGGGGTGGGGCGATGATCATGTAGGAGCACTCCAGGTTGTGAGGGTATTTATCCGGGAACCCCGGAGACTCGATCATGCCAGACGGGCTGGTGAAATTGCGGAAGCAGAATTCCGACCCTAAGCGGATAAAACAAAGAGGATAAAAGGATATTTAATGGGGAAAAAAAACGGTTGCATTAGGTGGGAATAAAGGCAGAAGCAATCGATCACACAGATATCTCATCTAACTTGCAGACGGTGTTTTAGAGAGTCGTTTGTCACTGACAGCCTGCTGGAAGGTACAGTAGGAAACACAAACGCTCACAATCACAAACAGGAGAGAAAACACTTGGAGGAAATGAATCCAGCACTTTGAGCAGAGATGATTTTATCTTTCTGAAAAAGATGGTTCAGATCTTCTAGAAAGAGTCTTTCATGGAACTTCTGAACAATCAATATCTCACCTGCTGTAGGTAGAGCTCTTTGATCAACCTCAGAATAGAGACACGGTGCAAATTTGACCAGATTTGATGAGCTAACGGCTAATCTGAGCAAACTGAGGCAAAGCAGATAACAGCGGTTTTAGAACTCTAATAAAAAAACATAAATCTTGTTAATGATATTTTATAAAGCATTAACTATGAAAAATACATAAAATGCTAATTTTCAAAGATCTGTGTGATTGTTTTTAACCGCTAATAGCAGCTGCAGCTCCTCTGCTGTAGGAAAATCATACGTCAGACAAAGTAAATTTAATTAAGTAAATTTCAACTGAAAATGTTTTTAATCTTTGGAAAATTATCATTTGCATGAAATATATGAAAAATTAGAAAACTAAAATGTTTAAAAAGGCAGTAGCCATCTGCTTTAGCATCGGCTTAGCCGTTAGCTTGTCGCTTTGATCAGTTAAACTACCTCTTAAAGGTGAAGTCATTCAAAGAGCTAAAATAAGATGACAGCTGTTTATAACCTACAATATATGTCACATCAGGAGTGTTGGAAGTAGAGCATGTGGGCTTTGATTGCAGTTCAACAACGGTAAAAACTTGACTGCTGACGCCAAAGAAATAATCTTTTACATGTTTTATTTAAAAATGTCTTTTTAGCTGCCAGCAAATCATTTTTCTATTTGTACTTTAGACCCATGTCTTGTAACCTTTTGACACCACAATAATTAGATGTTATTACATGTTATTACATGGTTTTCACATAGTTACTACACGTGCTTATTGGTGAATCTTAAGTGAAAGTGGTTTTTGCTTCAGGAGACTTTGTACCTTTAATATATTTAAAGGAAATTGCAGGAGAAACTAGAAGAAAACCAGTCCCCCTGTGTTTTAACGTGAGACCTGAAAGGAAACCAGCTTCTCATAAGACAAGTTTCACTTTAATTCAGGGCTAAAGACACCGTCTGACCCCTGGTTTCTGCACACATTCAACACAACTTCCTCGCTTCCCCTTTTTGCACTTAGTTTCACTCAGAGTGTGTATCACTCTCACTTAAACACACACAAAACTTGTGTAATGGCTCTAAGTGGGCCCTCTGCGGCAGCTCCTTATTACCCATGCAGATTTATGCGCCCGGGGCGGCTCACCTTGAGCGGCAGCAGCTGTGTGGCTCAGATCGGCTACCCATCAGCCACTGCTCCGCGGCCCACTGGGGAGCCTGAGTCATGGTCGAGTGTTTATGGACCAGCACATCAATGAGGGTCTGCACATGCAGCCTCATTCATGGTCTGTTCTTCTGCTCTGTTTGCTCACCCCGTGGACTTTTCTATCTTTAAACCGTCGGCTATAAACAGCTGGCAACTTGTGGGTCTTGGTCTTTATTTTTATACCTGCCAGGAGGCCAAATCTCCTCAAGTGATACTGTTGCTTAGAGACAGGGTCTCATTTGATCCAATTGGCCTTGATGAACCAAAATGGACATATAATTCCAATCCTAGTGTTAGGAAACAAGCCTGTTCTTGTGATACTTTCCCATTGCTCTGACTGCCTTGGAAAGCACATCGGAAAGGTCAAGTTGAAAAGCCTCATGGGAGAAGCATCCATGTGAGGGGGGGGGTTTAGACTTTGGAGAACAGTTTCGTGTCCGGCAGCAGCTCTGGACTGTCTCAGCAAACGACCGGCAGTCTGATAACCGGGTTTGGAGTCATAAAAGCAGTGTTTAAGGAGCGCAGACGCGTGAGCTGAGCATTCCAGCAGCAGCGCATTCCTCCGAGGCACCAGTCCTGTTTATCAGACAGCCGTAAAACCAAAGCGGAGGGGTCGACCGGCTGCCCCAGCCCTCCCCACTCTGCACTTGTTTAATGGTGGAGAACCGACCCCAATCAGTGCCAAAAAAGAGAGGGGAAAAAAAATCAGGAGACACTCTGTTTCCACCTTTTCTTGTCCAACGTGATGTAAATCCCTTACTGGTCCATACGGACATGACTGCATCACACATCCTGGATGTGAATCTCCTGGTCCACACGACATCCCAAAGCTTCTGGGCTAGATCCACGGTGTGCAGTCCTGATGGAAGTAGCCATCAGAAGGTGTGGGGTGTTTATTGTATTCACATTTCCCCACCACTTATCTCACCCATCCATACGTGTGGTGTGTGTGCTTCTGTCATACAAGCGTATGAACCTCCTCCCACATGTAACAGCAGCATTCAGCGCTTTTGTTACGAGACTCCCACATGTAAACGCAATGAAACATCAAAGCACATCAGGCTTTGCCACCAACACACACACACACACACACACACACACACACACACACACACACACACACACACACACACACACACACACACACACACACACACACACACACACACAGAGGCAGGTTAGCGTGTTTGGATAAATTCTGAACGTAACTAATGTCTCTATCCTTACTTCACTTTGCAGGAGCATTCATTTAGCCTTCATGTGTTTTCCTGCTGCTTTCTCATTTGTGTATAAAGTGTGTGTGTGTGTGTGTGTGTGTGTGTGAGACCCAGTGACACACTGCCTTAGTTTTTTTACTGGGTCACAGAGCAGCAAGAAACCCTCAATCTGAGCACAGCTTGACTGCCATCGCCTCCAGAACGCACCACTCAGACTGTGTCTTTTACTCTCCACGTGCCCGATCCAGTCGCCTCACACTTCGTCAACATCCCGTCCATGCGCCGCCGCTGCCTTAGTGTATGCATGAGTACCTTTCCACGAGCGCCGATTAGCTCACAGTGTGTGAGCATGCTCAAAACAAGTCTCCCTCCGTTAGTTCTTGACCCATGGCTGACACGCACACATGCCCGCTGTACGCAGGCCTCTGGTTGGTGCTCGTGCCGCGCCATGAGCTGCCACTTGGCAAGAGATGTCTCCTGGCAATGAGTGGGAGGTCATGGTGCGATTGTGTCTGTGTGACGGGGGGGGGGGGGGGGGGGGGGGGGGGGGCGAGTTGCTGGGTAGAATGATCCACTCGGGTTTATGAGACCCAGCAGCAGCTCTACATGTGTCAGAGCAACCTCCTTCATCCCTTCACTTCTCGGCAGCAGACTCTGAGTTCATTCACTCTTTGACTTTCTGTCTCGTCTCTCTCCCTCTCTAGCTGAGGGGCTCACCTTCCGCGTCAGCGAGACTCCACCACGCATCAAAACCGCCTCGCAGAGCGCCCGACTCCGTCTGACAAACATCCGCTGCTCATTCGCAGACAGATCGCTCGTGTAACGCCGCTTGAGCTCAATTCAAGGTTTTATTGAAGAAAATCTCTCCCGAGGCATGCGAGGAAGGGTGTGCGTGTGTACATGTGTACCCGAAGGGGCATGGTTCAACTGGGGGGTGGGGGGTGAATCCACAACAACAACAAGAAGCAGAACAAGAAGAAACCCCAAAAAAGGAAAAGAACATTCCCGACATTCCATGGTTCTGACAGACCCAGAGACAGAGAAATTCCTGCTTCGGTGACGAAACATCAAATGGAATGCATCCTACGGTTTGTGATCAAAGAGCATTCACTTGCTGATCTTTCCCCTCCTAAGCCCCCTCAACTCTAATTCACCTTTGCAAGTTAATTTCATGTGAGGCAGCTTGGACTTTTCTGGAAAAACAACAACAAGCAATCAGTGAAACGGTAACAGGCAGGACTGACGCAAAGGGGTTGCCCGTCCAATCAGCGGGATACCATCAGGGACCCACATGAAGTGTGTGTTGTGACTGGTGCCAGGGTGGGGGGGTCCAGCCTTAGGCTTAGCAGACGCGACAGTCAGCAGCGGTCACGTCTCTGCCCTAAGGTGCTCTGTCGGCTCGTCTTGACTTGGGATTGGCTGGGATGTGGCAACCCCCCGTTGTGTTAGTGGTGGGCTTTAGTGGACCAGGGGGGAAAGGGGGCTTCTTTGGCTAGTCTTCCCCTTGTAGCCGTGGTAACAGCATCAGCAGCACGTGACTATGTATGTTAGAGAGTTAAACGGGGGGAGGGGGGGGGGCTGTTAGTCGGGGATGGATAAAGGGTTAAGCACGCATGAGTAAGACCAAAGTAGGCCACAACAATGAGAGGGAGGAGGAGGAGGGTGTACTTTCACTGTACAGCAGCGTAAACGCCTGTCAGGGTGTGTTTGTGTTATTCAGAGGTGGTTTCAGGTGATGGATTAGACGTTTTAGGGACAAGGACAGGTGCTCTTTCACCTGTGTCACTGGAAAAAGTAAAAAAAAAAACCAACTTTAAAAATGTCTAGAGATGACGGCAAGGGTTCTACGTTTCCTCCTCAGAAGGATTCTCAGACTTGTTAGAGTCTTGCAGGACAGAAACTCTCCAAAGAGTAGCAAGACTTCAACCTTTTTCAGTTTAGTTTCCGAGTCAGAAATGGTGAGGAACGGGATTCAACTAAGTCAGGATTAGACGATAAAGTTGGGAATCAAATGAGACACGAACAAGTGACAAAATTACGATACAAATTTTAGACAGAATGTCAGAAATAGTTTGGAATGGTGTCATGCGTTTATACTTAATTTTAATTCCACAACTGAAAGTAATCCAACAACTCTTGGTAATCTTTGTGAATAGAGGATAAGATCCTAGCAGAAGTGTGGTTCATAAAGTCAACAGTGACTAATCCTTAAGAAGTTCAAGGTGTGTTTTCCTGTTGATGATCCTCATCTTGTAACGCTGCAATGGTTCTTAGTCCGCCTGTGGACAGATCAGAGGAAAGTGGTGTTCCTGGGTGAGTTTGGTCTCTGATGATGCCGTGTGAATGACTCTGGTACCGGGCCGCGTCCAAGACGCGCTGCACAAGTCCATCATTGCCATGTGGATTTTATAAAACTCTAGCATGTCTCAACTATGGCAGCTGTAGCTCAGGTGGTAGAGCGGGTTGCCTCATGATCGGAGGGTTATGGGTTCGATTCCAGCTCCCGCCAGGGGTATCCTGCTGTTGTGTCCTTGGGCAAGACACTTCACCCAACTTGCCTGTGTTAGTGGTGGTCAGAGGGGCCGACGGCGCCAAATGGCAGCCTCGCCTCTGTCCGACCTCCCCAGGGCGGCTGTGGCTACAAGTAGCTTACCATCACTAGCAGTGTGTGAATGTGAGAGTGTGTGAAAGCATCTTTGGGTGTCTAGAAAAGCGCTATATAAGTTCAATGCATTATTATTATTATTATTATTATTATTATTAACTGCCTGCTGTAGTTAGAAGTGTCACTGTGTTATGTATCTTAATCAGCTGTTCATCCCCATCAGGTTTTCCAGGTTGGCCACGCCCACCAATGTTCTCCAGAGGGAATCCCAGGTATGAGAGCTGCGTCCCCTCCTGATGGCCCCAGTCCACCATGTGATTACATCATTTGCAATGGAGCCTTCCACCATTAAAAAAAACACCAGACAGTGGTGGGCGTGGCCAACCTGGCAGACCTGACAAGCCGATTAGGTCGGTCACATTAAAAAGGCAAAAACAGCCGATTAACAACACATCACCCCAACAGCTGACTGTCAAACAATCCTTCATTTTCTACACGTCTAAACAACAGAAGAAGAAATGTAACTAAGCAATTGTCTTATGGACCAATTCAGAGTGTTTCCAAGCATAAATCACGAAATTTCTATAATTACTTGCAAATTATGTGTTTCAGCCCAGCGGGATTGTGACTCGATGGGTGGAGGAAGGGTCAGGTAGGATGTAGAGTCACAGGTCAACTCCCGATCCTCCTTGTGGGAAGTAATCAAAGAACTATACCCCCCCCCCCCCCCCCCCCCCCCCACACACACACACACACAACACCCACACATTGTCGCAAACAAATTGCTTGTCCAACTGCAAACCCCCTGGAGTTGTTACAGTCACTGCTTATGTAACAAGGTTGAATGAACAAAACAAAAACAAACCATGATGTCATTAGTTCATAGTACAGAGAGCATCAAACACACGCTCCTGCAATCAAAACCACACACACACACACACACACACACACACACACACACACACACACACACACACACACACACACACACACACACACACACACACACACACACAGCTGTGTGTTTAGATATCCATCTCTGGACGCACCCTTTAAAAACACACACAGACCCGAAACACGACCCTGACACTTGGGCCTTTAAAGCAGTGAGATACATTAAAGTGCACTAAAAAGGCGACTGAAACCAGGTTTGGCTTAATGATTACACCGTTAGTTTTAGCGGGGTAAGTAAACACATCTGAGCCGGGATCTGTGTGTACCTGTCAGAAGCTGTGGAGGTAACCCAAGGCCCCAGCCTGCCACGGTAAGACAAACAGCCATGATGAGAGAGCGTGCAAGCAGTGGAAATGCTGTAATTAACACTTGGCCTCAATCACGCATCCTGAATGCATTTTCACTCTCTAGACTCACTCATTCCTTGTCAGTCTGGCTCTCTTCACCCCAATCATCTCCCTGCTGTGCCCGACTCTTGTTGTGTTACCACTAGCACACATGTGCATCTATCAAGCCACCTCCACAGACAGAATCTCGCATGGCAAGCTGAGTGGAACCACCCACACGTGCAGCCAGCAGACACTTACATGTGTTCGCACACCGACACAATCGTTCATAGCTGAATTTCTACCAGGATCTTATTAAACCGCATCCCCTCCCTCCCTCCAGCCGCCTTCAATCTATCTGTGTGTGTGTGTGTGTGTGTGTGTGTGTGTGTGTGTGTGTGTGTGTGTGTGTGTGTGTGTGTGTGTGTGTGTGTGTGTGTGTGTGTGTGAGACAGATACAATCTACACTGTAACATTGTCAGGGATCGTCGAGCTGGTGGCCCTGGAAACTGAGCTGAACGACAAATCTGGGTCACACTTGTCTGACACAAACAAGAGATACGGTTTCAAAGGTGGGAGGTGATAACTTCGATAAGAGGGATGCTTAGATGAATTTTACTCTGTAGAGTGTCAGTTTTTACCACTTCCCTTTCCTTGTTTTTAAATCCAACCACATTTTGAAGCCTAAATGACTGAAGAATAGCCGAGAATCAGATTATACATAAATCTCTCAGCCCCAAGGCCACCTGACCATGTTACCTCTTCTACTTCTGCTACAAAACATCAAAACAAAACACCCCAACCTCACCAGGAAAGTGCGCCTCACCCCCTCGCACTACACCCACTTTGCGGAAAATTCCATTTCGGCACACACTCATCCCCATTAATCTCCTGGCTCCAGCCTCTCCCCGTTAAACCTTTAACCTTCAACTCCAAAGTTGCCTCCGAGCCCTCTCCATCATCCCACCTTAGCCTCCCACATCTACCCCTCCTCGCTTCCCCAGAGGAAGTCGATCCCTCTCCAATTAAGAAAGAATTCCTCACATGTTTTCTGATGGCTCACTGGTAATTTGGTAGGTTTCTTCTCTGACTGTACACATTTGTTTACTGGGCTTGTTGGTGTGACAGACGGCAGGTTCTGGAACAACGCACACAGACAAACCTTTAACCTAAACCATCTAGGGATAGTTTAGGTCTTTTGAAATTGTTTTAACAGCTAATGCTAATTTACACTCCTGACTGTAGAAAATTACATCATTATTCAAGCAGAAATATCCAAGGAAATGCTAAACGTTAGCACAGCTAGCTGCTGCTACCTGCAAATCCAACACACAAAAAATTGTATATACCAGAATTGGAATTTACAGCAAAACAACGGTTTATAAAGCCATTCTCACATGCTGACGGTTTATTTTAGCACTAAAACCAAAAACAACTGGGTCATTTTACGTGTTTTTCTGTTGGAAATATCTGAGAGGAAACGCCAAACTCAGATCGTTCTTCGTTTGAGTGTTGATATGTTGATGTGGGCGCAGTCGCCAATTAGTGGTGCAATGGGGTTATTTCAGCACCATGTCAAGATCATTTTAATAATATATTTTAAGAAATTGAGAAAAATATCCTTTAAAATATCAGGGCTAGTGTAGACGAGGCCTTAAGTTGACAGAAACCCACCTTGGACAAGCCGTTAGCACACAGGTTATCAACACTTTGTTTTACAAAACGTAAAATTCAAATGGCGTCCTCATCCTGGCGTTTCAAACTTCCTCTTTCTGTTTCGACTCCCTCACCTGTTTTGTAGATCTCGTAGCGCAGAGAGAAGCCCGCCCCCTGGTGGGCGTAGTCTGAGACGAATCTGATCTGGAGCGACGGTCCGGAGGAGATGATTGGCGCCGGGGCGATGTTGCTGCAGTGTCTTCCCAAAACATCAGCCGATTCCGAAATCCCATCACGGATCTCTATGAAGTCATACCTGGTCCCAAAGAAAACAAAGTAGAGATTATTAGCGCTGGGTTAAGGGTCAACCCAGGTGTGGATGGAAGTTCAGTTTCAGGACAAACGTGGTGCCAAAGCAACAGATTTAGGAAAACAGCATAAAACCCAATCTGCCACAGACGTTGTCTCCCTTCTGATGTTTTCAATAATCGGAGCTCCTCTGACCCACTTTTGCTTGGGACAGCACGCTCAGATCTCTTTGATGACAGCTTGGGGCGAACAAACCCCAAATCGCTGAATATTGGATCACAGGAAAGGAAAATGGAGGGAGGGCTGGAACATATTTCAGCGAGTGCCTGTCAATTTTGAAATGGGTAAAGATGCAAGCAAACCGACAGCTGGCTGCATTCGTTAATTAGAGGTGTAAAAATAGGCGGCGGTGCTCGTGAGTAAATGAAGATGTGAAGGCCGGGGGGGGGATGAAAAGTTGAGGACCTCAGCAGCACGGAGGCTGAGAGAGTCCAACTGGGATAGATAAACCTAAAGCCTGCTCTCCTATTAGCTTCCACATGCTTGTTCTCCCAGCTCATCGCTGACCTTTGACTAGCTAACTGACCCTGAACGATAAAAGCAAATTCTTAGCTGTCAGGTCAGTGTGTGTGTGTGTGTGTGTGTGTGTGTGTGTGTGTGTGTGTGTGTGTGTGTGTGTGTGTGTGCGTGTGTGTGCGTGTGTGTGCGTGTGTGTGTGTGAGATGAAGACAAAAAGAGAATGAACACACCTGGTTAATCCAGAATTAGCTCACAGCAGTGTGTGTCATTCACACACATAAAAGCAACATGGAAGTTTCTGTTCAAAAATGGCCAAAAAAGGACAAAAGCTTTTTTTATTCCCTCCATCAAACCTTGAATTCCTTCACTCAGACCAGAGATCTGCTCTGGCTGCACAACAAAAACCTGTTATTTACCATTTATGGCGCCCCTGCTGTGTGTTATTTAAACTGGATCTCCTCACGCTCGTGCTAGCGTAATAATTTCAGGTTGGGGTAAAATTTCCAGGCATGGAAATCTCTTTAATTTCTGTTTGTGGTCAGAATGAAGATTAAATAGTTTCAACTAAGTTACAATACGAGTTTTAATGACTATGCTTCAAATTTCCCATCCTGTCTCCACTCCCAGGACTATGTTTTGTGTTGCACAGCAGAGAATCGTTTTCTTGTAATTTGGGTCCCGTTAATACCCGCCCTGCTCCAGAGTGACTGTCTCCAGAGCCCACACGGTGTGTTTTCTGCATCGCTGCAGGAGGACTCCCTGCAAACACACTCGTCTGGATGAGTTGGTGTGACGACGCTGTCAAACGACGACAGGGTCGCTGTTGTTGCACTAATTAGTGTGATAGGCTGTTTGACACTGACAAAGCATTCCAGATATAGGTTTTAAGACGCATTTGTTCCAAAACGAGAAAACACCTTTTCTTGTCGCTGCTATAAAATGAAAAGTCTTCAGAAATCAGCTCAAACCTGTGGCTGTTTGTGGCGCCTGAGCTCCAAGATGGCTTTTGTAGTGCCAACTTGAAATAAAACCTGGATTAAGAAGAGTCTCTAAGCCTCTTTTTTTAAAGCTATCTCACTCCTGCAGCGTATTGATTCCTTTACTGAGCAGTCAAACTAAGACTGCTGATCGAGGGATAATCCCTCCACATTAATCTGGGTCAAGGTGGCATATGTACAGGTGAGGATCAAAGCAGAAAGCAGGTATAATGAGCTTCTAATGAGACACTAATGCCAGAAAGAAAGGCGCCTAAAAGAAGCAAGTCTAAAAGATGAGCCTGGTCCATGAAATCTTTTAAAATACACAGAGATATTTGACAGATTAGATAAGTGACATGAAGAGCCACTGGGTGAACCCTGTCCTTTTCATAACGTTTCACACTAAACGAGTCTTTTCACATCAAGGGGCAAGCATGTCCCAATCCTTTCTGCTTTTTCTGTAAGGTAGAGGGAGAGGGACGCTAACCCCTCCTTTCCAATGGATGTGAAAGTATTGTGAAACAGCCACGAAATGTACTACTTAGCCACCGTAATATTGGACGAGTTAGTTTCCACCGGCAGCAAAGTAACGTTTTGGATGCGTCCCAGAAGCATGGGGACACTTTCATTATGTCCTTTTTCCTGTGAACCCCGTGGAGTCGACGTTAAAGGGACAGAAAATAATCCACAGACCTTTTTGGATACACACAGCTGTCATTCTCCTTGCTTGCTATTGCGTGGACTTCTGAAGTCACGCGTGATGTTGGAATTCTCTCGTGATTTCGTGACTGTGAGGGACGAGCGAAGCGGAACGCTTTCACTCCCGTTTCACATCTGAAACCCTCCTGGTTGGGAAAAGCTCGCGGGTAAAACGCTGTTATTGCGTTACCCGCCGCCTTCACGTCCAGTGGAAAGAAGGCGCTAGCGTACCTAACTACCAGTAAAGTCTAAGTTTTTATTCCTCAGAAATAAATTACCACATTAATAGATCTAGCTAGTTAGCTTTTACGCTTGATTTTGACCGTTTTTAAATGAAAACCGTCTTTTTTGATAATGTGGATAAAATCGTGGACATAATGTTACGCGTGAACTCATGAGGCATCGTAAGAATCTGGAGAAACTTGTTGGGGGATAACTTTTGGTAAATGGCCTTCTAGAGTCATGGAACCCCTCAAGGCGCTTTCCAACACAACCAGTCATTCACCCATTCACACACACATTCACACACTGGTGGGGATGAGCTACGATGTAGCCACAGCTGCCCTGGGGCGCACTGACAGAGGTGAGGCTGCCGAGCACTGGCGCCACCGGTCCCTCCGACCACCACCAGCAGGCAACATGGGTTAAATGTCTTGCCCAAGGACACAACGACAGCGACAGACTGAGCGGGGCTCGAACCTGCAACCTTCCGATTACGGGGCGAGCACTTGACTCCTGTGCCACCGTCGCCCCACTTTTGACTTTTAGGACAACAATATTTCGATCAACGTCTGTTGTCGTTGTGATTTGGCAGCCGTACTGAAAGGTTAATGACGTGTTACATTCCTTATTTGTAATTTCACTGAAACCCAAAACTCCCAAAATACAAAGTCAGTGTTTTTTGATATTTGTTTTGTTTTTGGGTAAAAAAAGAAAAAAATATTGTTCCTAAATGCATCACATGTGATTATTCCAATAAATCAAAACCTTTTCCTAACAAGGGTATCATCACGTCTAATCTCATTAATACAAACATTAATGCTCAATAATCAACGTTCTTAATAAGTGAACAGCTGTGTGTTCATCTCCAGATGTCCGTTAACAATAGAGGTGGGAAAAATGATCGATTCTAAGATGCATTGCGATTCAGCCGTGCATGATTCTGCATCGATGCAGCAACGTGACATAATGAGACTTTATCCCTATGTCTATGTTCTGGACGCGCGAGGACAATAAAGTTTTGAGGTTTTACAACTAATTCTGTGGGCAGAGTTGCAATGACATGCGCACTGCGTTGCCCTAGCGCCAGTTTAAAACAGAAAAGGCGGACAGGGATACAGGGCGAACATTACCAGTAATCAAAGATGCACCCGTTAAATCGGATGTCTGGGCTAATTTCGGTTTTGAGATCCTGGATGTGAAAGAATCACTTAACACAGTATTTGTTTACTATTTTTAAGTTCAGTTGTATTCTAAAAGCTGCTCTACAGAAAACATTATATCCTATATTATTTAAGTAATTATAGGCAGCACACTTTAAAAATTGTTGCTCACTATAGTGAATAGATGTATGTTCTGTTTTTCAGGGATATCAAAATAAAAAGAAATTGAAAACTTCTACTGCTTTGTAATGAAAAATTGTGTGTGAAGAATCGTGATGCATTTCAGACTCAAATCGAATCTTTAGGCAGATAATCGGAATCGGATCGAATCGTGAGGCAGGTAGAGATGCACACCACTACTAACAACATCACTGGCTCTGTCTAAATTATGTCTGCTGCACCTTGCTGAGTATTGTGGGACATTGTTATGTTATATTAAAATAAAATTCTATCCTGCGGCCATTTTTTACATTTGGTATTTTTTTTTTATCCTAGACTAAAATTAAAAGGATGGAAAAACAAGACCTTTTTCATTTTTGGTATCTGACTCAGATCAATTATTCATTATTTTTTTACGTTTAGTTTTCAACAGAGAAAGGAAAGAATGAATGAAAAACAGATTGATTTTGTGTTCAATCAAGACTTTCAGTTTCATCCAAACTCATCCAGAGAGACATTTTGTTGTTGTTCGGGTTGACCTTCAGCTGCTAGCCCTAACCCAATATCTGTACAGCTGTCTTTGCTGTGTTTGATAAAGTCGATAACGGGGTTGGGCATAGAGCATCAACTGGAACTGGGACTTATTTTCAGCTTTTCCTATTCCTAGTTTCAATACTCAGTCCGCTGAACAGAAGGAAAAGCTGCCGAACACGAAGACGAATCCATCAGAAGTGTTTGCGTTAGTGTGGCTTCCTTTTAGAACGTTCATGTAATCACAGTTCACGGAGAAGTTTAGATTATTTCATCAAGTAAGGCCAATGGTCAGCTGGCTCACTGAAAACGTGTTAAGATTTTTAATCCTGCCTTTAGAAAAAAAAACAGATTTGCTAGGATCTGGACTCAAAACACGGAATTAGAATATGAACCGGAATCTATCAGATTTAAACAATTCCCAGCTCTAGTTGATAATCCATGGTGGCCATCTTGAAGGTGAGTCCCATTTTCTAATTGGATATTTTAATTGAAACTTGGCTTGAACAGTTGGGATCTACTCGTGCACCAAGCAGAAATCTTTGCTCCTTCAGAAAGAAACACGGGCTTCACTTGGCCTCAGACTGCAATAAGCAAACAGGTTTCATCCATAACAAGTCCTGATGTTGGGCGGTTTAAGTACATGATGGTTGGGCCACTAATGCGAGTGTGTAAAGAAGCTGCTGTCCAATACTCTTATGTGTGTCTTTCTTGTAATCCTACATTACAGAGGCGATCGT